TTTCGTGCTGTGGCGGTGTTGATAAGGCTGTGGCTGGCCCCTCTGTCTACGAAGATTTTAACTAAGTCTGTCTTGATTTTCCCACTATGCAGTATGGGGCTATCTACCGTAGTACCCTCCTTATTCGGCCAGGTGTGGTCGATTGCGTGAACCGGCACAATCACTCGGTGAGGGTTGGTTGGGTCGGGCGAGCGGCGTGACCTATCAGTAGAGGGCCCGTCTGCTACTGACTCCCAGCGTTTCCCTGCTGCTTTGTCTGTTTCTGCTGCTCAGCTTCCCCCTTTCCCTTAGCGTTTTCCGGGCATTCGCTCTTACGGTGTCCCGGCCGGTTGCACGCAAAGCAGCGCCCTTTGAATGGTGCGGCAGCAGCATTTGCGGCGACAGCACGTATCGTAGCGCCCTCGTTCGTCCCACGAGGCCGATGCCCCCAATTGCTGCTTCCGTAGGACCCCGGTCTCGGTCGGCGAAAGAAGTCGAGCTTCTCCGCCATGGCAAGAATCTCCTGAAAGTCGGTGACGCTGCGAAGCTGGATTTCTTGAGTGATGTCCTGCTTCAGGCCGCCGATGTAGCGGTCGATGCTTTCGTTCTCGTGCATATAACCCACTTGCTCGTATAGCGCCAGAAACCCGCTCGTGTAGTCTTGGACGGAACCGAGTTGGCGCCAAGTGCGGAGCTTCTGTCGCGTCGCGATCTAAGTCGCAATTGGCTCAAAACGAGCGCGCAGACCTGCGCACCACGCGTCCCACGTGCGATACTGGGGCACCTCCACGAAATACGACGGCGCCCAGGGTCCGGTATGTCCTTCTCGTGTCGGTAGAGTCGCATAGTCCACTGGCTTCGTGACGATGACATGCCACCAGTCCATGGCGGGTTCTCGCAGCAACATCACGGTGTAGCGAATCTTCGCCGTATCCTCCGAGACGTAGTTCGCGTCGAAGAAGACGTTCAACGTGAAGAGCCACGCCTGAACGGTAGGACCACCCCGCTGACTCGGGTCAAAACATGGCGGACGCTGCAGCTTCAGCGACATCGGCGACGGTAGAGCCGATTCGCCGGTCGACATAGAAATCGTGAATCGAGGATGACTTCTGGCCGCATTCGTCGCGTCGGGGTGTGTCGTGCCGTGGTCGTCGTCTCCGTCATGGCGGACGACGCCATCAGTGGCCGCACTCGCTGGTTGCCCCACACTTCCGTGTTGCGATGTCTGTGGTGCGGGCTGTATCGGGGTGCCAGGCACTTGGGGTTGTGTTCGTGCAAGGTCATTTTGCAGGGAGGTGCGTTCCGCCGTTAATGCTGCGATTTCTTCGGAGTTTTCGTGTAGTTGTCGCAGAAGCTCATCTAGGCGGTCCTGCGTGAGGGTGGTGACGTCAATGCGTTCGGCCATTCCGAAGGGCGTCGGCTCGTCTTAGTCTAGGCGCAGTCGTGGCTGCACGCGTTTACGAGAGAACGCGAGGACAGCGGCTCCTAGGGGCTAAGGTGCGTGAGTCCCTTCGAGTGAAAAATCAAAAGTTGATTTCCTGGGGTGCGGAGATGCGCGGTCCGAAAAGGAGAGAGGCTTTGAAGAACAAGTGTTACGGGTGCAATGAATCGAAGTAGCGAGAATTGCACTAAGGTGTCAAAACGAGTACAAAATGCGAGCGAAGGCGTGAGCAAACATTGAGAAAACTGAAACGAGAATGAATGAACTATGAATAAAGTGGGTACAAGTACTAACCCTAATTGGGTTGTACCCCCTATGGGATACCCCACTACAGCCTACACAAAAGCATAAGCTATAATGTTCTGACACACCCCCATAGGCAAAGTGGGGGAGAACAAGGGGTCACAAGACCAGTCAAGCAAAGCAAAACAAAGCAAAGCTCAGGGTGGATTACAAAGTCACCACACATTCCGAGCACAAGTACAAGGCCACAAGGCCAGTTCACATGCAGGAGTACATATATATATATATAAGGCTAGACAAGCAAGAGCAGGTATATATATATGTAACAGTACAAGCAAGGTCAAGAGGTGAGCAAGTGAAGCAAGACAGGGACAAGACCCAACTGAGTGCAGAAGCACTGATGATCACAAGGCGGAAGTGCCTTGGTGAAAACATCAGCAGTGTTGGCCTCAGAGGCCACGTACGCAAGCCGCAACTGTCCACGCTGCTGTAGCTCACGAGCAAGAAAGTAGCGGAGAGCAATGTGCTTTGTTCTGTGCTCCAGTCGCTGCTCTCGACACAAGGCCAGCATGACCTTGTTGTCTACGTACAGCGCTGGAGGAGAACGAGGCGGCTCTCTGTTACAGACTAAGGACGAGGTCTACGAAGATTAGGAGCGTAAAGTTCTCAAAATCGTTGGCTTGAAATTCTGGATAGAAACCGCGACTTCACAAGAAACGTTGTCGACGAAAAGTGCACCGTTAGAATCGTCTCAAACTCGAGTATATTATAGCCCTTGTTCGTGGCTATCATTCCCAATTTGAATCGTATCGAAAGGTGGAGTAAATCTCGAGTTATGCTTTTCAGCGCACTAGGGGGTATGCTGCCAAATGAATCTTAACTCAATCACAAAGTTCTCAGAATTTCCAAGATCCACACACAAGGAAGTTAGAGTAGCACTAAACCAGGTAGGGGGAAGAGGAGGACGAGAGGGAAGGTCCCAAGGAGTCGCCAACCAAAGAAAACTCCATGCCACACAATTCCCTTCCCCATAGGCAACCCAACTTTGACCTTTGTCTCTATCCCAACCTCCACAATCCACCTCAACCCAACTTGGCCACACTTGCCAACCTGGTTTGGTTCTCCCAACCACTTGGCAGCATCTACAGTAATGGGGACGAATTTCCCAACCCCCAAAAGTCTGTACCCCATATGGAGTTAACCCCACAACTTCCCACAGTTGCCACAATCAAATATGAAAAGCATACGAACTTCGAAAGTTCATAACTTTCTTGTTCGTGCTCTGATTGAAGCGATCATTGGCTTGTTAAAAAGCTCTTGAGCAGTGGAGTCACTTCAGATATCTGCTCAAGCCAAATAGCATACACACACACTCAGAAAATCCAAACCACAGAAAACACAAATTATTGCACACGCTCACACCACGCATGCAACGCACGAACACATGATGGGAGGCAGACAGACGTGAATGCATATGATTGCATCACACAACAAACTCCCCCTCTGGCTGCCAACCATCATCCCACATGCCATAGTTCAAGCATGCACCCTCAATGCACACTCATCCCAGCAAGCTTCATGCCCTTCCAATGCTCAGATTCAGCCAGGCGCTTGGTGAGAATGTCAGCCGCCTGCTGATGGGTCTTCACAATCTCCAGCCGCACCTCCTTGTCCAGGAGCCTCCTCACCCAATGCCACTTAGGCCTGATGTGTTTGGTCAGCCCATGAAGACAAGCGTTCTTGGCTAACTTCACTGCAGATTCATTGTCACAGAATATCACAGTAGCCTCCCTTTGGCACACTCCCATACCACTTGGTGTAGGGGACCCATTGCTTGTCCCCCACAGTCGCCAGCACCCGGTTCTTCACAACAACGACCTGCTGCAGTGCTGTCACCCAAAACGGATCCGGCAGCCCTGCACGCCCAAGGAGAGTGCGAGCACCTTCCTGCAGGGTCCGGTTGAACCGCTCAGCCACGCCATTCTGCTGAGGGTTGTAAGGCACTGTGAGCTGATGCTGGATCCCCTTCCGCTTCAGCTCCTTCTCAAAATCAGCGCCGATGAACTCTCCTCCGTTGTCAGTGCGGATCACCTTCACCTTGTGTCCGCTCTCCCTTTGTGCTCTCGGCATCCACTCCTTAAGAACAGCCGCTGCCACCTCCCCCTTAGTCTTGAGAGGGTACACCCACACCGCACGCGTGTGGTCGTCCACAATCGTCAAGAAGTAGCGGCTGCCCGAGAGAGAAAGGGCCCTCGTGGGGTCCACCACATCCATGTGCACTAGTGCAAGTGGTGCCTTTGCTGGTCCTGTGCTGCTGCTGAAGGGAAACTTCGTGAATTTGGTCTCAAGGCAGGTAGGGCAGCTCCCAATCTCCTTTGCTCCCCCCTTCACCTCCAGCCCCTTCAAGCACCCATCCTTTACCAACTTCTGCAGCATAGGAATGTTCACATGGCACAGCCTCTCATGCCACGTCTCCCTATCAGCCTCACCACTCCCAGATGAAGCCTTTGCCCATGCAGCTGTCGCATCCACACCAGCAAGCACCTCACCATGTGGCTGTTGTGGCTGCTGCACCTTCTTGACTGCATCCAGGGCCCCATCAGTTGGTGCAGTCTCCTCTCCTCCCGCAGTTGCTTTAGCCGCTGCCGCTGCCTTTGCCGTTGCTGGTGGTTTCCCCTTCCAAGGGATGATGGGCAGCTGCCACAAGTCCTTGATGCAGCTGCTCTTCTCCTCCAAATTCCACAGCAGCAACTTCCCTAGCTTTGCACGGCAGCAGGTTGGGCCGAACGTAACTTTGGCCTTGCTTTTCTGCAGCCGGCGCACAGAGAGGAGGTTAGCGGATAAACCTTCAACCAACAGCACATTTCCCAGCCCCACAAGCCCCCCATTAGCTCCCATAACCTTGGCATTCCCAACACCAATCACAGGGAGCAAGGCACCTGAAGCGGCAGCCACAAACTTTATCTTCCCAGGGGGCTTCACCTCATCAAGCAAATCTGCCCGTGGAGTCATGTGACTCGTGCAACCTGAATCGATCACCCAGTGAGTGAGGGGGTGCATCACAACCTTCCCAACTGAACCCACATCACCCCCACTCCCTTGCACGTCCTCAACCATGAGGAACATACCAGGGTCGGCTTTACCTTGTGCACCTGAACCTTGCACAGCACCACCTCGTGCACGTTCACCACTTGGCGGCTTCATGCCTGGAGGCGCCCATCCTTCAGGCCGGCTGAAACACTTGAACCATGGGTGTCCAGCCTTCTTGTAGTACCAGCACGCACCCTCCATTCGGGTGCTCCCCCTGCCACCAGAGCTCCCATGCCCCTCATTGTAGTCACCTCGGCCTCTCCCTCTGCCAAAGCCTCTCCCACGGCCTCGGCCTCTCCCTCCCCCTCTCCCTCTGCTGCCTCCTGCAGCTCCATACCCCTCAGCAGTTTTGTTGGCAGCACCACCTCCAGTGTGGCGCCTGCGGAAGTCCTCCTGCAGGATCTGCTACCGTAGCCACTCAGGCGTCCATTTGTCCTGCTGAACGTTGAGGGTGGGGATGAGGTTGTCCCACGAGTTGTCGAGCACCGAGATGATCTTGGTGCACTGTTGCATCTGCGACACTTCGCTGCCCGCTGCTGCCATCCTCGCATAGGTGTCCTTGATCTTGTCAAGGACCGGCTTCACATCATCTCCCAGCCGCATGGAGAGGGCAGCCAACTCCTTCTCCAATAGGATCACCATCGGCAGCGTGTTGGGTTGAACCACGTCGCGTAGCAGCTTCCACGCCTTCGGTCCCGAGTCATCGAGCTCCACCAAATCCTTGATATGCTGGAACATGTCGTTGTTGACCGACTGTAGAATCAAGTAGTACAGCACCGCGCTCCGCTCAATCCACCGATCGCGGGCATCTCCTTCCTCCGGCATCTTCTCTTCTCCCATAGCCAATTTTAGCAGCTTGTAGCGCATGAAGGCGCTCCTCATCCGCCCACTCCATTCCTCATAGTTGGAGCCATCCAATGCCTCAATCTTGGATGGTGGCGGCTCACTCTTCTTCTCAGCTGCTTCTCCACTCCCTTGACTCATCTCCTCTTCTCCCAATCAGAGGTTTCAGCTCCCCCTTTTGCTGGTCAATATGTAGATCCACACAATCTTCACAACTGTCGGCGCCAACGAAATTTCGGCAGGGTTTCCCCTTAACGGAAGTCACATCCAACCTCTAGAACTCCACTTCGGCACGCCCACAGGCCATGGTGGGACTAGGAGGGTCTTCACACTTCAGTAGACTCTCCAAAAAGTCCTTAATCAGCTCTGATACCACTTGTTACAGACTAAGGACGAGGTCTACAAAGATTAGGAGCGTAAAGTTCTCAAAATCGTTGGCTTGAAATTCTGGATAGAAACCGCGACTTCACAAGAAACGTTGTCGACGAAAAGTGCACCGTTAGAATCGTCTCAAACACGAGTATATTATAGCCCTTGTTCGTGGCTATCATTCCCAATTTGAATCGTATCGAAAGGTGGAGTAAATCTCGAGTTATGCTTTTCGGCGCACTAGGGGGTATGCTGCCAAATGAATCTTAACTCAATCACAAAGTTCTCAGAATTTCCAAGATCCACACACAAGGAAGTTAGAGAAGCACTAAACCAGGTAGGAGGGAAGAGGAGGACGAGAGGGAAGGTCCCAAGGAGTCGCCAACCAAAGAAAACTCCATGCCACACAATTCCCTTCCCCATAGGCAACCCAACTTTGACCTTTGTCTCTATCCCAACCTCCACAATCCACCTCAACCCAACTTGGCCACACTTGCCAACCTGGTTTGGTTCTCCCAACCACTTGGAAGCATCTACAGTAATGGGGACGAATTTCCCAACCCCCAAAAGTCTGTACCCCATATGGAGTTAACCCCACAACTTCCCACAGTTGCCACAATCAAATATGAAAAGCATACGAACTTCGAAAGTTCATAACTTTCTTGTTCGTGCTCCGATTGAAGCGATCCTTGGCTTGTTAAAAAGCTCTTGAGCAGTGGAGTCACTTCAGATATCTGCTCAAGCCAAATAGCATATACACACACTCAGAAAATCCAAACCACAGAAAACACAAATTATTGCACACGCTCACACCACGCATGCAACGCACGAACACATGATGGGAGGCAGACAGACGTGAATGCATATGATTGCATCACACAACACTCTCCGAGGTCAGTCAGCAGGTAGGTGAGCCAGCGAAGCTCCTGTGCAGCCATGGCCCCAGCGTAGATCTCAGCCTCACAACTGGAGCCGAGAACAGAAGACGAGCGAGTAACCCGCCACGAGACAGAGCCGGAACCAAGGCTGAAGGTGTAACCCTGTGACGACCGCTGCGTAGCCTGGTCGTCAGCCCAAGAAGCGTCTACGTGCCCAGTAAGGACCACTGGACTGCGCCCTCCAAGCACTAGCCTCATGCCCGACGTACTGCACAAGTAGCGCAACACCCTCTTCGCTGCAGCCATGTGCTCTGGTCGGTGTCTCCCAGGAGCAACATAGCGTGCGAGAATGCTAAGAGGGTATGCAAGGTCAGGTCGTGTGCAGGTCATCAGGTACATGAGGCAGCCAACAAGCTCTGGGTACGGGCCACTCAACTCTACGGACTCATCCGAAGGCAGAGCTGAGAGCGAGTGGCGAGTAGGCAGAGGAGTGGCCTGAGGCGAGGAGTACGTGAAGCCGAAGCGCTGAAGGACCTGCTGCACCATGTGTGACTGAGTCAGGGTAATGGTGCGGCGTGCTCTGTCCCGGGTGATCTGCAAGCCAAGGTAGCTGCGCAGTTCACCCAGGTCAGTGCACGTGTGTCTCTTCTGCAGCTCGGACTTCACGTAGGCGAGTCCAGCTGTGTCAGCTGTGGCAAAGACCAAGTCATCGACGTACACGAGGATGTAGAACGGCGGCAGAGAGGTGTCGGTGCGTAGAAACAGCGACGGGTTGGCAGTAGAAGGAGCAAACCCAAGAGCCGCAAGTGTAGTCCTCACTGTGTCGTGCCACTCACGTGGCGCCTGGCGGAGACCGTAAACTGGACGCCAGAGGCTCCACTGGGTACCAGGAGGGAACGACCTAGTGAAGCCAGGTGGGCGGCGCAGCCAGATCTCCTCGTGCAGGCTGCCCTGCAAGAAAGCTGTACTGAAGTCGAGAGAGAGCAGCTCGTAGTCACGGTGAGCAGCAATGTGCAGCAGTACCCGAAGAGTGGTCATCTTTGGGGTGGGAGAGAAGGTCTGAAAGTAGTCAACTCCCTGCCGCTGACTGAAGCCACGAGCCACGTAACGTGCCTTGAAGACAGGCGGAGAACCCGGCGGCCGCTTCACTCTGAAGATCCACATGCCACTGACGATGTTCACCCCAGGAGGGGGAACAGCGTCAACGTAGGTGCCTATGGACTTCCACGAAGCCATCTCTGCGTCCATAGCTGCCTGCCACTGAGAGGAGTAGGGACCCTCTATCGCATCCGCGTAAGAGCGCGGAGTCGGGATGTCAAGTGCATCCGGGTCTCCCTCAGGGGTAAGCAGTACAGACACGAGATAAGATGAAGCAGCGGCCAAGCAGTGGAACTCCTCCTGCCTGTCCTCGAGGACGTCCGTGCCAAGGGCACACTCACCCCCGACGGACGGAGGACAGATAGGCTCAGACTCAGCAATAATACTGGCAGCGTAGTCTAGACGACAGCGAGCAGCAAAGTCGACGAGCTCAGCAACTAGGGCAGACGCAGCAGTGGACTCAAAGGAAGGGTCAGTGACAACAGTAGTAAGGAGACGCGTGACAGTAGGACTGGCAGCACGAAGAGAGTCCGACTCCGGGTCGGCAAGAGCAGGAAGAGAAGACTCAGGAGGAGAAGGCAAAGGGGCACGCAGAGGAGCAGTGGACGGACGCAGAGACATCCGGTGCGTGCCAGGGACAGGAGGAGGACGCTGACGCGAACCGCGACCACTAGTGCGAGCAGCACGGACAGGCCACGCAGGGCGAGACGCAGGCTCACGACGCTCAGCAAGACCTCCAGTAGGATCAGTGTAGGGAGACGGAGTAGGCAGTGGACACTCTAAGGGAGGAGGAGGACCAGTAGAAGGCGGGAGACCAAGAACCTGCTGAAGGAGCGGAACGAAGTACGGCCGAGGCCGCGCGGCGACTCCAGACACAGCAGGGACAGCACCAGTACCCCTAGCGGCAGCACCAACACCAGCAGCACCTCTAGCTCCAGTACCTCCAGCAGTACCATTAGCACCCTCAGCAAGACCGCCTCCAGGACCGACAGGAGTAGCCTCCGCGCCAGCACCCGAAGTACCCGCAGGCCTAGCAGCTCCAGTACTCCGAGTACGAGCACCGCCGGGACCCGCGGCACCAGCACCCATAGCAGCAGCAGAACCTCCAGTACCCGCAGCACCTCCAGCTCCAGCAGCTCGCTCCTAGCGCCGGGCAAACCACTCACGCAGCTCCTGTGGAGAGAGTGGCTCCCGGCGAGACGAAGCACACGGAGAACCGCCAGGCTCAGCACAGCCAGACGCCCCACGAGCAGGCTCAGCTCCCTCAGGCTCAGCACCTCCAGGCGTAGCACCCCCAGGCTCAGTACCCCCAGGCTCAGCACCCCCACGCGTAGCACCCCCAGGCTCAGCACCCCCAGACTCAGCACCCCCAGGCTCAGCACCCCTAGTCGTAGTACCCACACGCTCAGCACCCCCAGAGTCAGCACCCCCAGAGTCAGCACCCCCAGGCTCAGCACCCTTAGCAGCACCAGAGTCACCACTGACCTCGACAGGCTCGTCTGCGTCTACCTGGGACACACCTGAAGGGGCAGGACCCTGAGGGGGGAGGGGGTCTACGGGGGGGGGACCTGGCACAAGGAAGAGCGGTGGCAGGGGGGAGGGACGGAGTGCGGTAGGGGAAGAGACGATAGTAGGGGACCGACTCGTCGAACGTGATGTCCTGGGAGGACAGAACACGGCGAGAGGTGGGGTGGTAGAATTGCCACCCTGGCGCGTCAGGGGGGAAACCCAGGAAGACGCAAGGAGCAGCACGAGGGGACAGCTTGTCCGCAGACAAGTCGCGAACAAACGCCCGAGATCCCCAGACACGGAACGCAGACGCATCGCCAACCTTCCCCTTCCACAGCAAGGCTGGGGAGGTCTCCGGCATGGAGACCCTGGGCTGAAGGTTGATCTGATGCGCCGCGTATCGGACCGCAAACAGCCACAGAAAATGGGGGGCAGCCGCATGCATCATGGACGTACGAGCGACGTCCATGACCATGCCAATGCGGCGCTCAGCAATCCCATTTTGCTGTGGAGAGTCCGGAAGCGTGAAGGTTTGGCGGATGCCTCGTGCACGACAGTAGGCTCGCAGAAGGCCAGAGGAGAACTCTCCGTCTCTGTCAGAGTGCAGACGCAGAACAGGAAAGTCCGAGTCGAAGCTCCGCCTGAGCTGGAGACGAGCTGCGCGGATCCAGTCGATCAACACCTCAGTGACATCACCCTTGCTGCGCAAGGGGAAGACTGTGGTGTAACGCGAGTAGTCGTCAACCACCAGCAGGAAGTTGCGCTCGTGACCCTGTCCACGGACGCGGGCCGGGCCCCACACGTCCATGTGAAGCGTCTGCAGCGGGGCCTCTGTCGGAGGAAACTGGGAGGAGTGAGGGGCAGCCCGCTGCCGCCCCTCGACACAGGGGACGCAGGTAGGGCCAGGCCCCGGAGGAAGGGGAGGGAGGGACCGGGGAAGACTAGAGACAAGGACACGGGAGGCCATGCTTCGGAGACGAAGCAGGGAGGGGTGACCAAGGCGGTGGTGCCAGAGGAGAGTCTCGTGAGACAGGAGGCGACACGAGCAGGGGGCAGACTCAGGACCAGACCTGGACGCTGCAGCAAACACCTGACCCGATGTAGCTACCTGACCAGACGCAGGGACTGGAGGAGTCCACCTCCGGTCGACCTCACTAGGTCGACCACGCCCCTCGGTCGACCTCCTCCAGGTCGACGTCCCTTCTGGTCGACCAGCTCCACGTCGACCATCGCAGTCGTCGGCCGACCACCCACATCGGCCACCCGAAGTTGGCGTCACGAAGTTGA